GAGAACTTGCACAATTGGTGGCTGACTAAATACTTTTTTGCCCCACTGTAACTATGGATTGGTCAGCTTGACATTGTTAGGCAAAACTCTTGAACAATTTAATAAACGGTTGGTTGCTAAGCATTTAAAGAAGAATGCATTGTCAGAAACCAGCAAAAGTTTATCAAGAATCTATTATGACCAGTTTAGCTGATCATGGGAATGTGAGGTTGTAGGGTATCTTGTGGTTTTAGTAGAGAAGATGGCAAAATATGGGCTAAATTATGCTACTGGGATATGGATACACAGCTTGTTGAACAACCCATCCAACAAACTGTGGGGATAGCAAACACCTTAGTGGACACTATCAAGATTCAGGAGGATTCTGGAAAGCTGGGCAAACTCAGTAAGATGAATTTGAATGGGGACAAATGCAAAGTCCTATACTTCTGCAGAAGAAAATCAAAACCATGAAGACAGGATTGGTGGAGGGAACCATAGATGATGTGAAAAGGGTCTGGGTGTCTTAGTGGATCACAAGCTGAACATGAACCAACAGTCTGTTTCTGAAGTAAAGGTAGACCTTGCTTACTGACTGCTTCATTCAGGGATCGTTCAAAGTTATGATGGAGCTGAAAAAATAACTTTACAACCAATGCCCGTATTTATGACCTTTACAGCTTCCCTCAATCACATGATTGCCATTACAGTCAATACATGTTGTCCTGTGCCTGACCTGTTGTCTTTCCTTCCTCCCCCTTGCAGAGCAGAGAGAGTGGAGAGGAAGGGATTACAAGGGAGTAAGCAGGCACACAATGGGGAATACACAATGAAAGCAATTTGCTGGCACTGGCAGCTGCTAGCGTGCTACGCAAACAGCCCAGTGTATTCCCCATTGTGTACCTGCTTACTCCCTTGTAATCCCTCCCTCTCCAATGAATGTAAATATAAACATTAATTCCCTTCTTGCTGATTATCCCAGCACCAGGGTGAGTATTCCAAAGGGTGGGGGAATGGGGAAAAGGAAAGGACAATTGTCATGTGATTTCCCACTTAGCAACCGCTTCACTTAACGACAGCTGCCACTCCCAATTGTGGTTGCTAAACAAGGACTACCTGTATAGTGTCAAAAGTCAAAATAAGTCACTATTCTCTTCATTCTGTCAGAGCACACCTAAACTACTGCACCCAGTTCTGGGCACCACTCTTTAGGAAGAGCACTGACAAACTTGAGAAGAGTAACAAAGATGAACGGTAGTTCAAGAGAGAATACCTATTTTTCAGGAAGACCCAGATTTTTTTCAAGTATAGATATGATTTGAATTTCAAGAGACTTGGCTACTAAAATTTCTAAAGTAGAGATTTCAATTAATACTTCTAAAGTAGGTGAAATCAATTGATACTTCACAGATGGCACAAATAATTGTTAATGGTATACTTAACTAAATTATTTCAGATACAGAAAGGAACAAGACAAGGTTGCCCACTGTCTCCTCTTTTGTTTATTTTAGTTCTTGAAATATTGAAGAGATATAAGACAAGATGAGAGGATCGTGGGTGTAAAGATTAAAAAAGAGTCATATAAGTTAAGGGCTTTTGCAGATGACTTGGTTTTCATTTTGGCAGACCCCTTAAAGGGAATTGAATTTTTAATGAGTAAATTAAAAGAAGTTGGGGTCTTAGCAGGTTTCAAGATTAATGAACAGAAGACAAAGATGTTAACAAAAAACATGAAAACGAGATCAAACACAATTGATAAATAAAAGAGTTTTTAAGACTGAGAAGAAGGTAAAATACTTGGGTATAACTATGACAAATATGAACTGTATGTTATTTCAAAATGACTATGTTAAGACACAGAATGAAGTTAAAAAAGAGATGTCAAGATGGGACAAATTATAGTTGTCACTGTTGGGTAGAATTTCTGTGATTAAGATAAATGTTTTACCTAGAATGTTATTTTTGTTTCAGAAATACCTTTTTTGACAACTGATGTACTATTTAAACAGTGGCAGAAGGATATATCTAAATTTGTACAGCAAGGGAAAAAAGACAAGTTAAATATAAGGTACTAAAAGATGTGAAGGAAAGAGGAGGATTGGGCTTACCAGATTTGAAACTATATTTTGCTGAAAAAGTGGGTGTTGTTAAGAAATAGAAGGTTATTGGATTTGGAAGGTCACAATTTTATCTATGGTATGATAAAGCTAAGGCGAATGTAGATTTTAAAAATCATATCAGATGAGCTATTCTTAGAATAGGAAATAAATATAAATTTAGGTTTTGCCCCAAAACACCTTTGTGGCTTTCAGCACAAGCAGCATTTTCCAGACAAGAAATGATAAGTAAACATAAATGGTTAACCTACCGTGATGTACTAGAATTTTCTCAAGGGTATTGTAAAACAAAATCAAGGGAAGATTTGACAATAGGATATCATTGCCAATGGTTTTCTTATGTACAATTATCCGAAAAGTTTAAAGATTTTATGGTTTTGAACAAAGACTGAGTTTGAAACAGAATTGTGTATTAATGACAACCATGTTATTGCTAAAATGTATGAACTTTTGCTGAAATATGAGATAGAAGAACAAGAAGTGAAAGAATATATGATAAAATGGGCTAAATATTTTGGCTACAATATACAAATGGATCAATGGGAAAATATGTGGTTGAAAGGACTGAAATTTA